CAAAATTAAATGGCTCATTATGTTTTTATACAATTCCACCCATATTCTGCAGTCTTACTTTCGAATGAGTAATGATACTGTCGAGGCTGTTATTGGAGAGTCTTGCCACGTGCCCATTTTTAGGACAGCAACTAGACAAGACATATGTCAACACAGAGAGCTCTGCAGTGGCCTGATGCTGCCACCCAGGAGCCTGTGTGAGGAGGAGAGACGCCACTCGAATGAATGCTCAGGGCATTTCATGGCCTGATACAGGTCTGGACAAGCAGAAATGGGGAATAGAGTGGAATCACCCAGCCTTGGCCATTTTGAAACACTGGAGCATCAGGTGGGAGAAGGAGTGTTATGAGTCAGAAGCTGACACAAGCGATCATTTTGATTGTTTTCAAAAATGACACTGGATTGCCGAGACAAAGGAATGTTGATCTGCATCCGTCACTGAAATTATAGGAATGACCACCCCAGACCTGCTATGTTTTCACGATGCACTTCAACCATCCTCTGAGCTATAATCTGAATGACAGTCTGAGCTACTTTTAAAAAGGCTTTAAGGAATTCTCGTTAGCACATAAAAATGCAGGCGTCTTATCCAAGCTTTATATAGAAACAGCAATGGCTAATAGCAAAGATATGTGAAAAATGCAAGGGAGCGTATATTTAGTCTAGAAAATGGTTCATTAGAAAAAAATCTCTGGATTCTTGTCTAAACATTGTGTCAGGACTTGTTTCCATTCAATGGCATTTGGTACATTTAAAAGCAAATGTGCAGCCTTACACAATCCTGGTAAGGACAGAGAGGCTTCCTTTGCTCAATTCAGTCTGTTCAGAGAAAGCAGCTTTGAAATGAAACAGAAATATTTTATTCAGCTGGTTAAAAGATGAGATCCTTAAGAAGTGATAAAGCTCATTCGAACTAAGAAGTGCTGGATTATAAGTAGGTATTTCCAACTGAAGTTCGAAAGTGTTGGTCTTATACATGGACTGTAAGCTGGGGTTCGTTTTGAAAAGGGAGTAGGAAAATGCTTCTTTTCTAAAAGTCTATGTGTCAATAACATACCGTTTTATATGCATTCAAAAGCAGTATATACTTTATTCTTTTCGTCCCTGTTACTTTAGTTGGAAAGTGTGTGCGTATACATACATATAAATGTATGTACAAAAAGGCATATATTATATATACATATCATTTTTTTAAAAAGGCCATTGAGCTTTCAATTATTCCCATTCACTTTTGATTGGTCTGTGCAATCACTTCCTTTACTCAGAGAGCAAAATAAATTGGGCATTTAGAAATTAACCATGAATACTTCATTTTACTTTTCAGAGTATCTTGTGCTAATTCTTGAATTACATTTTCGTGCCGTGTCAGTAAGAGAATTTATTAAATTGGTTGGGTTAACAGCATTTATCATAAATGAGTGTCTGCAAAGTCAGTGTTACTGAACTAGACAGTACGTAGTTAAGTAAATAAGCAAAGAGGATTTAAAGGACACATCATTTTGAGAGACCGAACTTTGACTTTCGTGGAAAAAGTCCTTTTCTTCTACACAAATACTTAAAGCGTTACTATGGTTAAGTGCACACACACACATTATATATATTAATTAAACATGGTTTCATATTTAGAAAAGCAAGTTTGAAAATAAAACAAATTATAATGCTGTTCCTTTAGAAAATTTCCTGTTCCTATGCAAAAAGTGAGTAAGAGCAGATCTCCCTCTGAAATGGAATCAGAGTGGACTCAGACACGGAAACGAGCCTGCAGATAAGGAACCCAGCATTTCCATTTTTTTTTCTTTGGGATTCTCCAGTTACTGTCTGTGGAGGACTTAACGGCAGATTGGAAAGGAAATATTAGAATTACAATATAAATACAAAAATCAAACTCTGTTTCTTTGTACTTTGACGATGTCTCTTTAAATCCGAATACTTTAAACGCTCTGTTATCTGTTACCTGTGATTTTCATGTAGAAAATGAGTAAAAGTTGTTATTATCACAACAGTCTGATGGCAGTGTAGTGCTTCCTGAATCATGGAAGCAAGGCTAAATCATGATTTACTTCTCGAGTAAGTTGCTCTTGTAATCTTTTGAAAGGTTGTAATTCATCACATGGTGGATATGTTCTTGCCTTAACAAGAATTCATGACTAACTAAAACATCATCATCTTCAGGTATGTTTGATAACAGAGTATTTACAGCATTTGGAAAATCACTGAAAAATTCAACCTCCTTACAGTCTCCTGAATGCCAATCTCACCTCCAAGTCAAAGAACAATACACCATTTAAAATTGACATAGTACTCATTCTGACTCTTAACAGAGGGATCAAGTTGAGAAATAACTTAGAACTTACATGATTGGAGCATGATGGGGCCTGTTGGGTTTGTGTTGATTGATTGACTCTACCAGATTGTAATCTGTGATTTACTCATAGAATCAAAGGTATATAGTTCAACTGAGAAACTCAATTTCCAAAGATCATCAGTTAAAAGTTGTCTTGGAAACAATGAAGCTAATAACTCAAGGTCCTGCACAAAAGTGAAGAATTTGCCAAAACCATCATTTTTTCCTTCTACAATGGGGGCGGAATGTTTTCACCATGTGCTGACAGGAAGAGCCTTCGCTTGGGCCTCTACTGGTGACTACGTAATCTTTCCATATCCCAATAAAAGATTAGTATTTTTTAGTGAAAATCTTGCTTGGAGGATCAAATCATGGAGTATTAGGAAGTATGTCTACTTATAAAAATTGTCTATTTTTTTTTAAAATTGCTTTGGGGCTTTGCACCAAATGAAGTCCCAGGTTGAGCCCTCTGTTACTTCCTGTGGATGTCATCGTGGGGACACAGTCTCTGGATGACACACCCATTACAGGTGGTAGCTAGAGAACTGGACTACTTTACGGGAATTAGTCCAAATAACTGAATAATTAAGTTAAACTTTCTTTTTCTTTTTTAGTGGTTTGACTAATACTTAATCTATCAGTTGGGTTAATATAAAACCAGGGAAGGAAGTTTAAGACATCTTCCACTGTGGTCAGGTTTGTTATAATGGATGGATGAAAGTAATCATTGACATCTTTGATTTCCTGGGAAACATTGGCCAGTCTTGACAAGCCCTTTCTATTTAAGCGGATTCTCTCTTCACCTGATATTCTGATAGCACCCCTGGCCAGGTTCCTGGGGGCACCAACTTGCAAAGTAGGGTGATCTTGTAAGAGACAAATGTTTTCAATCTGCTGAGGCAGGCTGATGGAATTTGTGGACCAGTTTCTGACATCCCAAGTGATTATGATGCTTAAAGTATTTTAAACGATTCCACGTCTATAAAAAAAGTGATGATGCCTATGTGTATACCCTATATTTTTTATTACAAAAATATTGAAATAATCCATGAGTTATTCCACTCTGCACCAACTATAAAAAAATACTATCAAAGTTTGACCGGCACTTTTAATGCAACGAAAAGCACCATGACGGAGGACGCTGAGAACAGAAACCGGGGGACGTTTACTTGCTGTACGGAGGTATTTAAAACCCAGAAGCTTGTTGTAAGAGTGCGACTTTACAGATGAGTCAAATACAAATCTTAGCTGGATATAGTGATAAGCCCTCTATCAGTTCAGAAGGATTTTTTCGTAACCCATTCTTTGCATTTGTCTGCTCATACTTACTAAAATGTGTCTCAAAGCCTTTAAAAGACACATCACTTTGACCTTGGATTGAGGGGAGGGAAAGTCTGTACACAGTGGAGAACGTGATTGTTCATTCTCTTGCCTGCTTTTAGGGGACTCACGCCACTCATCCTCAGTTGTTCGGGGCTTCCACGTCAGTCCTGTGGTTGGACGGTGTTTGGCACTAGACAGGAGTGGCATGGCGTCCTCCAGAGTTGTGTGTGCCTATGGTCACACAGAGCCACTCATTCTGCGTCTGGAAACACATCTGGTTCCAGCCCATCCCTCTGGCTCGCGCTGCTCTACTGTGAAGTCCTAGTGGGAGCTGCACGTGCCTGGGAATCAGACTCTCATTTAGTCTTTTCCCCACTTCCTCTTTGTAGACCTTTTACATTTTTGCAATTGAATACTGAATCATGATTACTATTTAATTTACATCACGAAGTTTTTGAGCTCCTTGGTCTTGTCCAAAGCCGTACGTGGGCTGCATAGGATTTCTGTCAAAAACGATGCTCACAATTGAAAATTTAAAATATAAAACGAATCCTGAAACATGGAGAAAATGAACCATTCCATCAATGCTAACATATGTGTAAACAACATTTGGGTTTGCTGTCCATTGGATAGGATTTTCACACACGGTATGGATTTCCAAATGAGAAAACGGTTTGTGAATTCTTTTCTAAGCAGTACTATTTTTTTTCTCATGGGATATATTCTTTCTTTGTTTTTATATTCCTGTGGGAATCGGAGCTTTGCATCAAGAAAAGTCACCTAAGCTATTTTGACAGAGGACTGGTGTTATTTGTGTTAGTGTGTGTATGTGTGCATGAGTGAATCTATTTTTTTTTTGAGACAGAGTTTTGCTCTTGTTGCCCAAACCAGAGTGCAATGGCATGATCTCGGCTGACTGCAACCTCTGCCTCCCGGGTTCAAGTGATTCTCCTGCCTCAGTCTCCAGAGTAGCTGGGATTACAGGTGCGTGCCACCATGCCCAGCTAGACTGAATCTATTTTTATGGAAAGATCAGTTAACACCATCGAGACACCCTAATGATTGGAGGCAAAATTTTCCATAATAATAGTACCCTCTGGTGGGTGCACCCCAAGACCGTGCAGGAGGAGTTTGGTAGCGATGGAGAGTCCTACTAAGGCAGCGACATTCTTTCAGGTGGAATCAGAGACTAGGGCGCAGCTGCTTTGGAAGGAGACCAGCCACTCCCCGTCGACAGGATCAAATGATAATGGTGATGACGGTCACACTAGGAACTTCACAGCTCACTGCCCTGCTCTAGGATGAAGTGTCATTACTGCCACAGCCCCGCTGTCACCCCTTTATCTGGATGTTGTGGCTCCTGCAACTCCCTTTGCTTTATAAAGTGGTTTCGTACTCCAACCGCTCCTGAATAAGGGCATCGTCTTTATACTGCAGCCTCGGAGGAGATGGGGAACATTCAAAAGCTAAAATAGCCTTTCGGAGGCTTCGGTCCAACACGTGTCTCTCCCATGCTGGGTACCTATTCCTGAACAAGTCAATTTTAATGACTGATTCTTCAATCCGTGGTGGGCGAGATGATGGGGTGGACGGGGCAGTGGGCCTCACCTGAAAGACGGGTACACACCCATCCCGCTCTGCGAATTTCTGATCGCGGTCGCTGGTAACGCTGCGGTTGTTGGAGATGGACCGTAGGGTGCTTGTGGCCACGTCTGGGGGCAAAGTGAAGGCAGCGGCTGGGTCCTCACAAGCACAACTTGGTGACTGCCCGAATCTGGGTCCATTGGGATGAAAGAAGGCATAATACATCAGCATAAACACAACGCCGGTTAAAAAGCTGCTGAACACCACACACAGCGCTGGGATGGCAAATGCGTCTGCAATCTGGGGAGCCTTATAGAGGTACCAGAGGGCACTCAAGGCCGTATTTTCCAAAAGGATCACAAAATAGTAAATGAATAGCCTGCAGCGTGTCCTGCCTTCCTTCACATTGAACCAACTGAAGATATAGATAATCCCCACCACCATGTCGAACACAATCTCTTCCCATTTGGTGATGCAGAATTCTGTCTCACAGTGGACGATCCAGAAGGTCATGATGCACCAGTGAAGGACGATGAAGATCCCAAAGTACAGCTGGAACACCGAGGCAAAGAGGGCAAACGTGATGACCCTGGCGGCGATGGTGAAAAAGTGCCAGCAGAACTGGATGATGACGGCCATGTAGCTGATGGGCTTCTTGTCATCTCGAGAGTCCCGGAGGGCCTTCTGGTAGGAGGCCAAGGCCCAGGCCAAGGACACGAGGGAGGCTGCCGCTGTGAAACCTACCAAGGCAAAAAGGGGAAGACAGTCTGTCAATAGTCAGTTGCAGCAATGCCCCCTGAAAGTCATGTCAGGCAGAGCTGAGGGCTTGGGGAAGGCTGGCTTTGACTTCAGCAAAGGCTCTTAATTTCTTCGGGTTTTAACACAGATGGGGATGCTCGCAGCTGCCCTCTCTGAGGCCCACCCAACTGGAGAAGTCATGAAGCTAATAGGAATGCTACTTGAAGCCAGCGTGAGTGTGAGACCTGGCCATGGGGTGGAGTTTAAGTTTCTGGATTTGGTGTAAATGGACTAAGGAGGTAGTTTTGTGGAGTGGAAAAATAGTCATGGACCGGAGACTGTCAGAACTGCGTTAGTCCTTTGGCTTTGCCGCTTATTACCCCCATGACCTTGGACTATTATTAAAACGGGTGTCCTCATTTATAAAGTGGGTGATCTCCAAAGCTCCCTGTCAACTTTGTGATTCCGTCACTGAAGGGGATGTGTAATCACAGGAAACCTGAGGAACTAGCTGGTTTATCTTTCTACTTGTAAGCAAGAATAAATGTAGTGTATTCACAAAAGACAGTATATGCGTTCTTAAAAATACAAGGCGTCTGTACAACATCCCTGGCTCTGTTTCTGGTGACACCTGGTGCGCAGATTGTCCTAGTGCGATCCAGCACTCTCCCTCCAGCTTTTATCCGTTTCTTACTGCCTTTTGCATGAAAGAAGACATGTCCCCTCCCTGTCTTTCATCTCTTAGCTCTTCATAGATTAAAGATTGTACTGAAATTATTTTTCAATCACTTGTCTTGTTTTATGAATTTATTGGCCCCATTTGGTTGGTATTCCCTCTAAAAGGCTTCCAAATGCTAAGTCATTTTTATTGTTTTCCTTGACTCTTATTTCACCTCTTGTGCCCCACAGTTCATCTCTATGGTCCAGATGCGGGCAGGGCTCACCTAAAAACACACTGACCTCCTTTAGGAGAGGGTCCTTGTGGGAAATTCCTCTGTCATCAAAACAGTATGCCACTCTGCAGCACAGCTGGCTTCCTTAATGAGCTGGACCAAGACTCACTGAGATGAAGAATGCTCTCATGTATTTTAAAGTCCGGATGGCTTTTTCTTCACCAAGTCTATTATTAATCATAACCAGACCCTATTACAGTCTTGCTCTTCTTTTGGAAATAATAGAAGATGTGTTCTCTGGGACTCATGCACAGCAGCACAATGCCAGAACACACGACTCTGAGCACTCCTTTAGCTATTAATGTGATTTGGAGTTTCTATTTGAAAATAATTTCAAACTTACAGAAAAATTATAAGAATAAAAATATTATATTAAACATCTATATTTCATTTGTCCCAGTTGTCAGCTGGCTTTATAATGGCCCTGTCTCTGTCTCTGTCTCTCACTCATTCGAGATTAAATGCATACATATGGTCCTTTACCCTAAAATACACCAGTGTTTATTTCCTACGAATAGGGGTATGCTTTTACATAGCCACATAAACTTCACTAAATTTAACATTGATATCATACTTTAAAAAAAGCCACTATCAGTATTCCAGTTTCTCCAATTGACATTTAACAATGTCCATTCCTGCAGGGTGCTGTGGCTCATGCCTATAATCCCAGCACTTCGGGAGGCAGAGGTGGCGGATCACAAGGTCAGGAGATGGAGACCATCTTGGCAAACACGATGAAACCTCGTCTTTTCTAAAATACAGAAAATTAGCTGGGTGTAGTGGTGTGTGCCTGTAGTCCCAGCTACTTGGGAGGGTGAGGCTGGGGAATTGATTGAACCTGTTGCAGTGAGTCAAGATCGCACCACTGCACTCCAGCCTGGCGACAAAGCAAGACTCCATCTCAAAAAAACAAAACAAAACAAACAAACAAAAAACCCCACCAATGTTCATTCCAAAATTTTTCTCCCTGATACAGGATCGAGTCTAGAGTCAGGTACTGCATCTACTTGTTGTATTAACTTAGTTTTCTTTCATCTGGAATATTTCCAGATACCTTCTTTGCCTTTATGACATTAACATTGTTTGACGAGTACAGTACTTGAAGAAAAGAAAATAAGAAAAAAAAAAGGTGTTCCTCGTTTTGGGTTTACCTGCTGCTCCTTTATGGTTACATTCCAAGGCACTTATAAGTGACATTGAACAATGTATGTTTTCAGCATCATGAATATACTGAAATATGAAGATTCCTTCAGTGGCCCCAGGAAAAATATATAATGGGTCCATCTTTTTGTTCAAAATAATGAATAGTATATCACTCATGAAAACTTGCTTCTGAGATCAGACTATAAAAACAGCTACAGGGGACTCAAAAGGATTCTATATTATTTCTTAAAATGTGAAAATAGGTGATAAGACCTCAGAGCTTACCTAGTGCAATAATCTTATATTACAGAAAAGAAATTGAGTCTCACTTTGAGAGGTTATCTTCCCTCTCTCCTGCTTCCCACTTATCTTGGGTGAAAATTGTCCTTCGGAGCGAACCCTCCTGCTTCCTAGACAAGGGCCCTATCAGTTAACCTGCCTTTCTCTGGGTTCCATCTCCTCCTCTCCAAGAGCTGCCTTCCCGCATTTTTACAAACATGTAACAAGTCTCCTTTATCCTGTGTGATTTTTCTCTCTCCTCCTCTTTATTTTAGATGTGTCTCCTGCTTTCCCTCCTGTTGTTTCTCATCCCCCCATTTTCATCTGGTTGTCCTTTAGCTACTGACGTTGCTGGGGATGCTGTCCTCATTCCTCTTCCCTTCTCGGCCTTTCTCTGAGTGACCTCACTCACTCCATGTCTTGAACCCAGCAGAGAGTAAATGCCTATCTGAACTCCCAGTCTTTCTGAGCCCCAGAACTGTGTGATTGACTGTGAGACTTGAAACTCCATGGGTTTACAATGAAATGCCTGGAAGCAATTTGGCTGTAGGTGACATTTGCTTTCTCATGGAAAGAACACGGTTCTTCTTCCCTTTATCCCCGCTGTTGCTAGTGGAATGCCCTTCTCAGAAAGAGAGGGAACATGAATTTCCAGATAGTCAGCCACAGTTCTAAGAAAAGGATGTTATATGCAGCTTGACTGAAATGCCACATCCAAAGCCACCCAAATATCGTGTGTTCACAATGCACACCATTTTGGGGCATTGCTTCTGTCACTGAACTGAGTCGGGCTGATCCAGATGGCTTTGCTTTCTTACTGTATCACAGCCTGAATAATCAATCTGACTTTGAAGACAACAGTTCAATGAACATAAAGTTGGTATGACAGTTTATTCCATAATTTTAAACTGATTACCAGATAGATACATATATAGAGAGATTCCTTTTTTTTTTTTTTTTTTTTGAATAAGGGTGTTAAAGGAATTTGAAACTATTATAATCCAAGAGTTTTCATTTGAAACTCTAGGCTAGGAGATACCCAGTTCCAGCCCTTCAGATCTGTGCATCTGAATTATTGTAGACACTGCTGAGTAAGCCAGAACATGTCTAAGATAGTTGTCTATTTTAAATGAAGATTTTTCAGAATAAGGGTTATGGGTCCAATACTAGCTTGTTAGTGAATTAGCATTTCAAGGGGAACTGATAGAAATCAGGCTCACGCCTGTAATCCCAGCACTTTGGGAGGCCGAGGCGGGCGGATCACGAGGTCAAGAGATTGAGACCATCCTGGTCAACAAGGTGAAACCCAGTCTCTACTAAAAATACAAAAATTAGCTGGGCATGGTGGCGCGTGCCTGTAATCCCAGCTACTCAGGAGGCTGAGGCAGGAGAATGGCCTGAACCCAGGAGGTGGAGGTTGCGGTGAGCCGAGATCGCACCATTGCACTCCAGCCTGGGTAACAAGAGTGAAACTCCGTCTCAAAAAAAAAAAAAAAAAAAAAAAAAAAAAAAGAAAGAAAGAAAGAAAGAAAGAAATCAATACGATGCAGTTCAAAAGCACAGAGTTTTGAATTTCTCCTCTCTTCTTCCTGCTTCTCAGGGTGTATGTTCCCTTCAGGGCATCTCTCTTTGGCCTGCCTTCCTCCCCCACCTTCCCCTCTTCCCCTGCTTTAACTCTGCTCTACCCTATTTCCTCTTCTTACTGAACATAGCACGCAATTAAAATATTTTTAAAAAGTTGTATTAATGAAATGTTTGGTGTTGCCCAAATTAAACTCGAAATATGTTCTTAAAACACAAGTAAAACTCAGAATAAGAAAGAAAGGTCCTGTATTTAAACGCCAGTGGTCTGTTCTAGCTATTCTTTGCTTTACCCTTGTTGTGATCCCCGTGGCTTTGCTCCAAATTCAGGTTCGATTTCAAGGCTTCCCACAGCGCCCATTAAAAGGACTCAACATCACTAACCTCTGCTTTTCATCACTCGTAAATTGCTTTCCTATAACCTTCTTCCGATTTGTGTCGAAAAGCAGCTCGAAGGAGAGAGGTAAAGAATTCTTTGCATTAGGATTACAAAAAATGATAGCTTAGACTATGGATGATGGGGAGGGGGTGTGCTGGGCAAAAACTCTATCATCTCAACATACGCGTTATTTCCTGTTGGAAATAATGGATAAACAGGTAATGTGGATTGCAAAAGCCCCTTTGAAAACATTATAATCTGAGTCCCTTTGATTTTGAAACCTCTAGACTAGGAGGGGGCTATCTGGCCTCCAGAATGGTTCTCTCTATAGACATGTTTCCATGCCAAGTAACCCTTCCTGTCCCTTAAGAGCATGGATCCCAGTTTATAATTATGCTTCATTTTTTGTGCTGGTTTAATTATTGTATTTCTCACTACAGTGGGTCTTTTAGGCAGGGATAAATACCTGTTTATCTTTCCGTCCCTTTGCGCATTGCACAGTGACTAACATGTATTTAGAATTGGCATTTCCAGGGAAAAGAAGGAAGGATGGAAGGTAAAAAAGAAACAGTATTCCAAATGTCGAGCCGGAACCACAGAGAGAACGAAGCGCTCAAAAGGTTCGCAGGGTTCTTCACTGTCCCTCTCTTTTGTTTCTTTGCAATTT